GAGAGAGAGCCGACCTGCTGTTGAAGCAGAAGGAGGAGCTGAAGCAGAAGCAAGCAGAAAACTGGAAGGAAGAGATCAGAGATGTCGGCTGCCTCGCCCACTAGTTCTGAAATTCATCCCCTCTCTCTCTCCTCTCTCTTTCTCCTACTAAGAGCCTATGAGAATGAAAAGGATCATTCCCACTCTGGCACCGTGGAAGTAGTGTACATATATAGTGGCATAATTGGTCTGAGTCGATGACAGTCTGTTTATTCTTCAAACCAGCAATTTGTTTATTCAGCAACTAGGATAATTAAAATGCAGACGACGCTTTTCTACAGGGACGAAAACTTTGTCTATGTATTTTGACGTGAGTAATGTTAAATAAATTAAATTTAGAGACAAAATTTAAAATTAAATAATGTGTCACCAATAAGAATGAACATGTTTATCAACGCTTAAGTAATAAACTAATCATAAATTTCTATGTCCTTTAATTTCTAAAATTTGTCTACAAATTTAGTCTCGCTAACATTATTCTTTTGATGTTAGTTTGATTTCCACTAATTTCTTTCCTTCAACAATTAACAATTTTATCTACTTAGGCTTTGCCTAATGTCCACGCAATTTTACAACTTTCAACACGCATTTGCTTTGGGTTGGATCATTTTTCTTGACTAAACCAGGTTTATAATTCAACATTAGCATGAATTGTTCACACCATTACATATATAGTCTTACACGTTAATGCACACCAACTTAGGCTTTGCCTAATGTCCACACAATTTTACAACTTTCAATATGCCTTTACTTTGGGCTGGACTACTTCTCTTAACCAAATCAGGATTATAATTCAACATTAGCAAGGTGGTTCGCACCGTTTGCATAACTTTTCTTCTCCATTCTCAAAATAACTTTTTAAATTTTCTTGTCAATATGCATTTGCTTTGGGTTGGTTCACGTTAACATGCATTTGCTTTGGGCTGGACCACTTTTCTTGTCAATTCTCAAAATAACTATTTAATTTTTTCTCGACGACATGATATTTAATAATGTGGATGGCATTAAATTATCTCGTGATCAAAAGATAACGAGTCAATGGAGAAAGTTGACGAATTGGGAGGTAAACTTCCGGGCTCGTTTAAGAAAGAAATCAAAATTTAACTTTAAAATGTTCAATTTGTAAACGGCTTGTAATTTATGAAAAAAATTGTTAAAATGAAGGATCCTTTGAAATAATATAATATTTTCAGTCGTCATTTCGTTTTTAACTTTAGTTTGCAAAGTTATATACTTACAACATGATTTTTGTAATTATGTTTAGTCATAAAGGGTTTGGTACACAAACAACAAATGGTTGCCACAATTCTACAGAGGACACAAATTATATATATACACACACTAAAAGAGTAACTTTCGTTTTAATTTCCGTTATGTCCTTTTAGACTCAAATAATTGTTACTTCTACAGTGTATATCTGATTTTACCCCCACCTATTCTGCTGTTGTTTCAATTTGGCAAGTTTGCTTTGCTGTCAAACGGAGAACAAAATGGGACGCATGGGTTTTCACTGCTTCTTCCCTCTCTCTCTCCTCAACTCATTGTTCATCCTTTCCACTAGTGTTGGGTTGGGTTCGAAACGGTTTGGTTTTTTGTCAAAACCGAAACCGAAACGAAATTTCAAATTTTTTTCTTTTTTTCGGTTCAGTTTTTTCCGAAACAATTGGTGGGCATTTTGAACAATTAGTGGTAAAGGACACTTTGAAATCAAATTTTTTTCTGCAGCTGAGACAATTGATTAGTTGATAAGAAAGCGACATTTTCTTTCCATTTGTAAGATTTAGCCAAAAGTATTTTTTAACAACTATGATATAGTTTGATTTCAATTCATAATTACTTATTTTGTTAAATTTAACCTCTAATCTGTTAGTAAATCTTTATACTTTATGTGCAAATACATATATAATCCTGTACGTATAATTTTTTATAATGTTGTTAAACAGTTTTACTTTCATCTTTTTGTCTGTAGAGGGTGAAAACTGCCCTGTTCACAGATGCGAAACAGGGGACATCTTCTACTTCATATGGGACGTAGAGATTAGTTCGATCGTGATTGTTTTTCTGATTTGGTTAAATTCAAAATTAGTTGGCTTGTGTCTAATTTAGTTGTTTGCATTGTTTGCACACGTAGTCGTTTTCTAACTTAGTTCATCAAAATATGTCATCCAATTTTCAATCCCGCAATAACGTGTGAATCACATTTCCCGCAGCAACGCGCGGACTACACTTTCTAGTTATCTATTCTGAAATTGAGGTAGGATTTATTGTTTATTTAGCTACAGTTAAATTTTTGCCCCTCGATTTTACCTTATTTACAAGAAACTCATCAAATTTGCGCTGGGTTGGAAGGGTAATTCTTAGAACTTAGAAGGGTAATTTTGTCCGCAGGGTATGAGACGGATTGGCCCTTGATTTCACCTTATTTACAAAAAAAACCATCAGATTTGGGCTTGATTTCACCTTAGAAGGGTAATTACTCTATCTTTAATAATTCCTGACCACGACATTCATTATTTAAATGTTAGATTGAAACTTTAACCATTCAAGGCAGGGTGCAAATACAGAGTGTAATATATACCCACTATCTCACTGTCTGGAAAGAAATTGGATCCTCTTAGAGGCAATGCCTCGGGATCCTCTTGACCGAACAACACAGGTCATTGGATTTTGATCCAACGTTTACAATTATTATAACTTTAGTGGAACCTCTTATTTGTAGCCGTTGGATCAAAATTCAACGACTCATGTTGTCCGATCAGGAGGATCCGAGGCATTACCTCGGAGAGGATCCCATTCTGCCTGGAAAAACTCACGAAGAAGATAAGAGCATCTGTATATTCCTTTACAGCTCATTGTTTAATATTTTATTATCATGTTGACCTAAAACATATCACATCACATACCATTTTATTATTTAAATCTATTAGACACATGGGTGGGCTGATCACGTTCACCTAAAACCCTCTTTAATCCGTACACCCATTACATCATTTTAAGTATTATCGTATTATTGCAACGACAATTTACAAGAATAAGCATTTCTGATTAAATTATTATTTTTGATAAACCCATTTAGAATCTGATCTGGGTTTTGCTTGGATTCCAGGGTAAAAACCTTGAAACTTAGGCCATCTACAACCGATGGCTGGCTAGAGAGATCGTTTTAGCCCTCTGGCCCTCCAAGATTCTCCAAGATATTAATATTTTAATGAACAGTACAGGGCCATATTTGCCTCCGTCTCCAATCGAGGGCTAGAGGGCCAGAGGGCTCGTTTTAGCCCTGCCACAAAAAACCATCTCCAACCGAGGGCTAAAGGGCCATAAAGCCAAACATAATTTATTATTTAAAAACTACAACTTAAATTAAAAAAAATGGCTAAGTGACATTAGCATGACGTCAGCTAGCCGTTGGATTTGAATTTTTCTTTTGCTATAAATAGGGTGAATATTGGGCTATAATTCACACAACTTTGAATTCAATCTATTTCAATTCAATCTCTTTCAATTCAAATTTGGAATGAATTTCAACTTTGGATCCTTTTCGAATTCCAACTCGGGGTCCTTATCCAATTCCAAATTGGAAGCAAAATGGGCGCAAATGAGACGAGAAGATAAGAAGTGTGATGAAGAAGTTCAAGTATGTCTGAGTCTACATGCCTTGATACTCTTCAACAATTCTGTGACACAATTGTTCAGGTTTACAAAGACGAGTACCTTCGCGAGCCAAATCAAGAAGATCTGAATCGGCTCCTTCGCAAAGCTGAAGACCGTGGGTTTCCAGGCATGATAGGGTCATTAGACTGCATGCATTGGGATTGGAAGAACTGTCCCACCGGATGGCAAGGGAAAGTCGAGAAAGCCAACTGTTGTGTTAGAGGCGATTGTCTCATATGACACATGGATTTGGCATGCTTTCTTTGGAGTCCTTGGATCCCAAAATGACATTACAGTTTTTGGGCGTTCACCCCTCTTCAATAACTTGACGGAAGGTAAAACACCTCAACTTCACTACTACATCAACAACCATCAATACAATATGGGGTATGACTTGGCAGATGGCATCTACCCAAAGTGGGCGACACTTGTCCAAGCAATTCCAAACCCTAGGAATGACGCAGAAAAGTTGTTTACCTTACACCAAGAGGCATACCGGAAAGATGTTGAGAGAGCTTTTGGTATTCTACAAGCACGGTGGAAGATTATTAGCGAACCGGCAAAAGGGTGGAGTCGAGAAAATTTGGACTCCATCATGATGTCTTGCATCATATTACACAATATGATAGTGGAGGATGAGCGAGATGAGTATATTGATGGAGAGTCCGATGACGACCAAGAAGATCCAAATAGGTCAAGAAGAGCTCGTGCAAAAATATATGATGGGCCTAATTTGCCTTTCAATCCAAGAACTCGTAGTATCTCTATGAATGAGTACATGAGGCGCTATAGAATGATACGTTCTCGTGCCACAAACAAGTACCTACAACATGATCTTGTTGCACATCTTTGGGCCAAAAGAAGCATGGAGTAAGCGTTTAAGTTTTATGTTATTAAATGTTATTTAAAATGTTGTTTAAGTTTCATGTTGTTAAATGTTTTTTTTTTTATGTTGTATAATTTGTATGTTAGTTAATGTTATTTAATATTATTTCATATTGTTTAATGTTGTTTCATGTTACTTAATTTAATTTAATTTTGTATAATGGTTTAGGAACTTATAGGAAAAAAATAAATTTTGTGAAATAGAAGTTATAGGATAAAAATAGATTTTAAAATAAAATAAAGCAACTATGTGAAATAGAAGTTATTAGAAAAAATAAAATTTAAAAAAAAAATAAACAAATTTTGTAAAATAAAAGTTATAGGAAAGAATAGAATTTAAAAAAAAATATTAAAAATAGAAGTTAAAGTAAAAATTTTGTAAATAACAAATAATAATAAAACTATTAAAAAAAATCGTTAGATTACGTTAGCTAGCCGTTGCATTTGAATTTTCTTTTTTCTTAAGCATTCCTGTCGATTATAATCGATAGGATTCTTAGTATTTCTGGCCGGCCCCGGGCGGCTGGCTGCAAGCAGCCTGCAGCCAGCCTTCCAGCCCTCTAACCCTCTCCGATTCCGTGGGATCCTCTTATATTCTAGAACTATCTGATCTAACCCACGGTTAGAGACGATTTTCGTTCTATTTTTGACCTTCTAGCCCTGTGAAGCGTTTGGTTGAAGATGACCTTAAGGGTTGGTTTGATCTGGGTTTTCCAAGTAAGTTCTGCATGAAAGTGTTGGCTGCTGCTGCTCCGCTCCCTCAACGCTCATTTTTTACATATCGCATCGTCGATCCGATCCCAGCTCCAATCCGCCAAACAGGCTCGTCCTCCCTCCCAAAGCCCTAATTCGTATTGTTTATTTCTGTCGGAATTTTGATCTGATTTTTTTTTTCCATATTTCCAGTAAATCATTTGTTATTCCTCCTCATCTCTCTCAGTGCTTTCACTGAAATTTTCAGTTCTTAGATCCTATTTTGTTTCTGATTTTAGTTTGCGTTCAGTGTGATTTTGTGTGAAAGAATCAAAGATGTTGGGAATTTTAAGGCAAAAAGTGGGAGCTGGAAGCTCATCAGCTATGATACACCCTCTACTTCTGCAATTTATGAACTTTCATTATATAAAACACTTGATTAATTTACTATTATGTGATTTACTGCCTAATCTTTGTGTTGGTTCAGATTTTGGGGCGGAGGATCCACCCCGCCACGTCGGCAATGAGGGGTTTCGCATCTTCGGTGAAAGTGGTAATCTGACGCCTACCAGCATCTAATCTCTGGCATTTATAATCCATGCGATTGCTTAAAAAAAATTTTGTGTTTTTTGCCTTTTTAGAAGATTAATTTTTGTAAAAAATATAAATCTTATAAACATTCTACCCATTGTTTAGTTTGACGAATTTTGTAGTGTTAGTTCTGCACTATTCCAATTTGCCCTTGATTGGATAAATAATAGCGTTGTTTAGCTAATTTGCAAATTTCCTCATATTCCTAAGTTAGCATTTTTAGTCAAAAATTTTAGATTTTACCGATTTTTCCAGTTCAGGATGATAAAAATTTAGGGCTTTGATTTGTTGACGTGATTTCCACGTACTCTGAATTCAAATAGAAATGCAAGGATATATTAGATGTGTGAGTAAATTTTCAGTCTTCATATATTTGTTTAACCCTTAACGATATGTGAATTATTGATTGATAATTTGATAATATGTATGCTATTATTGAATAAGAAAAATTAGTTCGTTAATTTGTTGGGCTTGGTTGTTTTGGCATGTTGATTTTATAAAGCTCCTCTTTATAGTTAGGTTGAAGATCATGTTGATAGATTTTTTTTTGGTTGGTTCAGATCAGGCGATTCCGGAGGCCCTGCCATCGAGGTTAGTCTGAAGCGATTCCGATCTTATTGACTTATTGCATGTCAAAATCTGCTTCAAATTTGTGATTTAATATAATTGGGCTTTAGAAAAATTCATGATTTTGTCTAATCCAATTGAGTGATTAGAAAAATTTTCATCAAATTTCTGGGTTCTTGGGGGGTTCTGAATCTTGATGTTGAGAGAGCTTGGTTGCTTTAATTGCAAATGAAATTAGCTTCTAAACGTTCATAATTTGCTTTTTCATTTTCGTTCTATATTTTCTTTGAGTTCAGATATATTTTTTTTTTTTTTTTTTTTTGGTGATATATATTGCCGATGCCAAAATATCATATTTACAAGGACAAAGATAGTAAGGTTCTAAATCAAATTTTTATCCTGGTTCTACTGCTGGGTTCACTATCAATAAAAGGCACATGAAATATGGTATTGATTTTAGAGCCTTTGATTTCTCAGATTGTCTTCATATATTGAATGTTATCTGAATTTAGTTGTAGTTATTTTGTCAATGTTTGTTGTTGTTTAGCTTTTTCAAATGGCAGCCTTAGTATTTGCCCAGTATTTTTTGTGAATTCCAAACTTTCCTTATAATTGTAGGTACGTAAAAGCTGCCAATTGGATTTGTTCCCCAGATGATAATGGCATACCTATATAATGGTTGTTCTTTTGCTTTGATGTAGAAGTAAGAAAATTGTTTTACCCCTTATGTATCCTGCTTCTTTCTGTCCGTGTGTTCTTTGTTCAAAGGTTGGTTGGTTGTTAAACTTGCTGCTGTAGAAGAGTTAATTTCTGGTAGGCAGATGATTATAGTGTTGTTCCTATTATGCTTAAGGTCGTGGTAATAATATTGTGAGATTTTATGTCTGCATAAATCCAGTAGTGGTTTTGATAATCAGAAAGTAATCTCTCAACTTCTTTCTGATTATAGTTGCTTTGATACTGTCATAGGGACTTTTATCATACTTACAAATTGATTTTGATATATCCATTCGTAGGTTTTAAATTTTTGTCAAACCCAAAAGTTACCTTGCTGGGTATATTTAAAAAGTAGTTTAATTAATCAATATTACTATGGTAGTTTTCAAGTATATGTTAATTGGAATGAATACTTTTGGTTTTATTTTTAAAACTACATATATGTGGTAAGGAGGGATACCTATTGAAGTTTTGAATTTCCAGTAAATCTGATCATCAGGTGCTTTAAGATTTGAATTTTTAAAGTGGTTCCCCAAAACTACCAAAGTGGTTCCACAAAACCAGCAAAGTGGTTCCACAAAAATCTGCAAAGTGAACGTTATGTTGCTTGCAGCAGTGGATTGTTTAGGGTTTAGGGTTTAGTTGAAAAAGATATACAAAAAAAAAACTAGGTAATGGGGCACTGAATTGGGTTTGAGAGTTTTGATATTATGAGAGAAGTAGGGAGTATATAGGGCGAGAGGGAGGTAGGTGGTTTGCAGAAATGGAGGGTGAGAGAAAAACGGGAGAAAAGGGGTAGTACATTATATTTTGATTTTATAATTTTGGGGGTTTTGTGTTTAAACTTTTTTAGTACTTTTTTCGTAGATATAGCCTACAAATGTTGACCCAAAGGTTGGACCTTCCTAATACAATTATTAAAGTTAATTATTTTAACTAAAGTTGATTTGAATGTGATGATGATGGCAACCACTAACAACAAAACAACAATCTCCTTAGATTAAGGAGAAAGAACCGAAAGGTGAGGAAGAAAAGAAGGGAAAGGAGGATAGAGAGCTCTGCACATGCAAATGTTAGTGTACATGTAAAGCAGAAGTTTTACTCTTTCGTGTTGTTTATCTCGGTCTAGCTCTGGCATTTTGAGGGTCTCCGAGAATACAATATACTGTGACTCAGGTCTCATAGCTTTCTTGCTATATGATATCATATAAGTAAATGCTAGAATGCTAAATTTTAACCAAGACCATACTCACAAGCAAAATACAAATACAAAAGTCCATTTTAAAATGAAGGTTGTGATTTATCAAAAGATGTTTCGTAAACATAGGAATTATGGATATGTAGGCATATGTATTGTAGCATTATGTGATGAATAGGTTTATTTTTTCATAAATTATTTTTCTTCGGGTATTGCATGTCGTGATCACCACAGTGATGTTTGATGTTCTTCTTCAGGTGCTTCTTGGGGATGTTGGAGCTGGGAAATCAAGTCTGGTGTTGCGCTTTGTAAAAGAACAATTTGTTGAATTTCAGGTTTGTTCTATATCTTTCAAAGGACGCATTTTCTTTTATATCCATACCTTTACTTTTATAGTATGTTATTACAAGAATCAATTGCCACCCTTAGTTGGTGGTATTATCTTTACAACACATTCAAAGCAACGAATAAAATCGCACTTGCTATTTGTTCTGTCAACTGGACTACTATAGTAGAACTTTAGAAATATCTGATGAAAGCAATGAAGAAATCACTATGATTGATCTGCAAAGAAGCTCTAATAAGTTACAAGAGAGTAGCAATGTAAATTGAACTGCTTATTTTATGGATCCATTCACCTATCTCTTGTTTTTTCTTTCATTTGGACATAATTGTGTAAATGTGTGGTTTTGTGAGCGTTACTTATGTAAAACGTGTAATTATTCCTATATCAATGGTGAAGGAATAATTGTTGGAATCTCTTGAACGCTGATAAATAGGAGAATTGTTTGGGGGATGTAACTAAATTCAAAAATGATTGCCTACATATTTCCTCGTCAAAGAGGGAGAATCAAATTGCGTGTAGTTCCATGCATGAGTTGCATGAGCACGTACGCGTTAGATGAGATATCAGATATGCATTATATCTCCTTAGAGGGAACCCTAGCTTGGATATTTATAGATGAGATCTTTCTACTTTTTGTCTTGCTTTGCATGAATGCTTATTCATATGTAAAGCACCATATCAAAGCCAATATTCTCATGCTATAATCATGCAAATGTAAAGTGTAAAACAATAATTCATTTAGCAATCCAAACACACAAAGTGTCATTCGTCAAATAAAATGATAAGAGTAAGAATTAAAGCTAAGTAGGTAAAAGATTATCTTACCATCATGTTGTTCTGCTTAAATTTTCATTATTTCAATTTTAACTCTTTCGTATATTTCTCCTTTCATGTTCTTTATTTATAGTGTGGATCAGATTCAAAACCCTTTTACCCACACCTACTCACATTTTTTTCTTCTCATTAATCGACTTCCTCTCACCATTTTCGTTCTTTTCAACTCTCTCCCAACCTTCCAAAACCTCTTTATTTTCCTTCTTTTCTTCCAGTTCTTTACCTTCCGGTAGGCTATTCTCACACCTTCACTTCCCACAAACACCGCCTTCTTTCTCTTATCACAGATGACAAACTACAAAACAACACTCTTCTCTCTCTCTCTCTCTCTCTCTCTCTCTCTCTCTCTCTCTCAGTTGTTTCCATTTTTATTCACTTGTTGCTCACTCTTTTCTTTTCTTTTCCTTGCCTCTCACAACTCCCTCGACACCTCTCTTTCTCTTTCCTTCTTTTATGCTTTTCTTCAACCCCTGATCTTCTATAATATAGCTGAAAATTTGCATATGTAACAGGAGTAGAATTGGTGAGCAACATAAAATGGAGATGTAGGCCAAAGAGGCTGGCTGAGAAGGCCTGCTCAAACGTATATAAGCTGCTCAAACTGATGTATAGGCCAACATAAAGATTAGGTTGTCGAGCTTTTTGGCTATTTTATAGAAGAGATGATATGGAACAATTTTTGTGAAGGGAGTGCTTTTGTTTGATCCCAGTAAGTTGAATTTTTAAGCTCCAAACATGACTCTTAAGGTTTTCTGCGGATTTTCAAGGCTGTAATAGTATTTTGATAATCTGGAATGAATGGACCGTTGGATCTTTCTGAGACTTTGATATGTTAAGGTAGAGAGGATAAGGAACAATTTCTATGAAGAAAGTATTTTGATATGAGCAAGAGAAAATGTAGTTTCGAAGCTCACAACAGGCCTGACTGGTTGATAGACGAGTGCTGAGCAGTCACTGGTTATACCTGAGTTTCTGAAGTTATACGGCTCCAATGGATCTCATATTTGGATATGTTGTATATAACGAGTTAACGAACAACTTTCTTGAAGACGGCTTTTTTATTTGAACTATAGAAAATGGTAATTTGATCTGCAAAACAGATATGACGAATTTCTGGTTCTTGAAATTCTTTCACTTGATAACTAGAAGAAAGTGATGATGAGTTTAGTGGAGAGATTTGTTGGGTAAGCTCTTATGCATTTTCTGGGATTTGTATGTGATTTCTTTCTCAGGATTCTCGTTGCAAAATAGAGGGATATTTGGTGGTGCTTCACGGAGTTGGATAATGGTGTTTCACTAGAACGTGGTAACACTTTCACATAAACACACAATATTGGAGTGGTTCGCCAAAGTGACTACATACATTGGGGTTTGCTTTCATTTTGTATTTCACTATATACAAGAGACTTACAAATACAATGAAAGATGACTTAAAGCGTCTACATAAGGTAAAGAAATGGATGATGAAAGAGGAATTGTCTGAGAAAGAGAACATTCTTTTTGCTAGTGTGTTCTTGCTGGTGTGGTGTTCTCCCTTTTTTTCCTCATGTCCTTCTAGTTCTTGCCCCCTCCTTTATAGGGATCATATGAGATCTTCCTTCTCACAACATGTACAATCAAACTTGAGGATAAAAGCTGCCTAGTGTCCTAATAGAAATCCACCAAGTATTGTGCAAATTATTAGAGCATCTCTAAAGGATATGTCAAAATGTCCACATAAGCTATAACAGTAATAAAGGACTATACTAATATTGTCCAACCGAAATGCCAATTCCTATGTGGCGCTGACATGGATTGGTAGTAAAGGGGTTGCTGTCAAATTTGACAGCAGCTTTAAATATTTTTTTATTAATTTTTTTATCGTAAACGCTGAAACTGAAGGCAAACGAAGATGGGCCGGATCGTAACAGTCCAGATCCCTGTGGATCAACCAGAAAGCAGCAGCCCCGCTGCAAACTAAGTTGTCGCTTCGTTCCCCATCTTCCCAGCTGTCGGAGAAACAGATATCAATCTAGGCTTGGGCTTCGACTTGGCTCGATGGATCTCAATTCGGCACGGTTTCTGGAGGAGCAGCAGGATGTCGACTTGGCTCAATGGGCATCGACTGGACAATGGCCTTCGCCGGAGAAACAGTCGGGCATCTCCGAGAGAAGCTTGCAATGGGCATCAATTCATTCAATATTGATTGTATTAGTGTCGGGTTCGAATTGGGTGTGAAGGACTTGCGGGAGGGAAGCTTTTCTTAGTGAGGTTGCATTTGATTTAATCAGCGTCGGGTTCAAATTGGGTGTGAGGGACTTGCGGGAGGGAAGCTTGCAGAGCTTCCATGACTGAAGGTATGAAGTGAAGAAATCCGGGGGTTTTGAAAGATGTCAAAATGGGTAATAAAATAATAGTTTAATAAATAAAAGAAAAGAAAATAGTGTAATAAAATAATATTTAATTTGACATACCGGGTGGAGAGCAAAATTTTGAAATATGTCAAAATGCCATATAGGCCGTCAAATTCAAATTTTATGTTTAAAATTTGACATCTCCTTTGGAGATTCTCTTAGCCATAATATGTGTTCGAATAGCAAGACAACATTTGTTAAACTAATCATTAATAATGATATGTGTTCCAATAGCAAAGCAACATGTGTTGAGCTAATCATGAACAAAAATTATCCTGTAAGGTGGATGCATGTCCAAGGCCACGTTAAAGTTTATCTTATGGTAAGCTTGTTGGAACAAAACATATGGTAACTCTACAAATTGGTAGGATATCCAGATGATGGTGAATTAAAAGCTTCAAAACCCATGGTTATAATCACACCTCAAACTAAAACCAAAAGAGTAGCAAAGTATTTAGTTGCTAGTGGCACGCAAATGAGAAATACAAAGCCTAATAAATCAATCTACAAATAAAGTGAAACATATATGTATTTGTTAACTAATGAAAAAAAAGAACTTGGTAGATCAAACTTTAGCGTAAGACACAAATTAAAAGTACCTTGACACTTATATGGGTACATTCTTTTTTCTTTGATTTTAAAATGTATCCATGTCAAGTTTAATCGAAGAAATTTACTAATGTTATTAAACCTAATACTTTCTTTTTTTTTCGTGATTTTGAAGAATGTACCCATGTTTTGATACAATAATTTTTTTGGTTAATTTTGATGAATGTACCCATGTTTATATATATAAACACACACAATAGTATATTTATATTTTAATATTTTTAATCCCACAAATTATGGTTTTTTATTTAAAATCTCATTTATATAAACAACTAAAATTTCTAATTTTTAATTTAAAAAATATAGTTATGTACATAGAAATAAATTATCACATTAATTTCAGAGATCTCGATCAAAAATTTAAAACAAATAAGGTTTCAATCAAAGAATATGCATAACTAAAGATCGCATCCAAAATCTCCCTATATATATCCACTTTTTAAAATACAGAGTATTACACTTGCACATGCCTCTTATATAAAGCTGTTTTAGTCCCTTCATGATCAAGCTTAACATACACGACATTGTTCTCCTTTTAACTCCAAACACGAACTTTCCCCTCCTGAAAACTTAGGCTCCAAATCATTTCAATTGTTGCCTAATTTTTTAGGGAGGAAAGCTCATATTTGGATCCAAGAGTACAAAATGTTATGGATGTTAGACCTAAATCGTGAAAAGATTGTAACACTCTATAACAAATATACTTATAATTTTGAGATTGTTTTTTGTATTGCATGTGGTTCTATATTCTAGTGCATAGGTTATTAAGTTTCCACATGAGGTTCGGAATTCTCCCCTTATAAATTATTTTAAAAAAAAATGTAACAAATTGAAATTTGAATAAAAGTTTAGGTGACAAATAAAAAATTTGCCTTTTCTTTTGTATTCTGCAACTGGATCATCAACATCAAGGCTCAATTTATAGACCCAAAAAGGCCTTATTAAATTATCTGAATTCTCTGAACACATTCTTAAATTTTAGTGGTGGGATCTCCATCGAGTGGTGGTGGTTCATAAACATATCTGTAATCATTTTGTATGAATAAGTAGAATATACATGCATCTAAGATATATTCAAATCTGGCATGCCAGTCCCCTGCCCACAACCAAAAGCCAAATTTAAAGTACAATTACAATTAATTATTAAAATGTGTATTATATAAAAGGAAAGGGTCCAAAACAAGTACAAGGGCGCACAAAGGGATAAAAGAAGCATGTGGAAATCATTTCCTAATATTTATCACCTTCCTTCTCCTCTAACGCCAGCGAGCAGTGATTGAGTGACGTTTACAGATGATGCAGGGTCAATCCAAGGAGTGTTAGTACCACTTGCATTGCTGCCTCCCGGCTGATAGTTGAGGCGAACATTACTATCCTTGGATGCAGTTGATGGGGTCTCATCCTCCACCAAAAATCTACCTGTTGACAATGTTGTTACATCTTTAAAATCATAATCTGTCAAATAGCTTGGCTTCGACGTGACAGTGCCTATGTCAATGTCTCCAGAGAGCATTGCAACCACACGTGACATAGATGGCCTCGCCATCGGTGATCCCTGCGTGCACATGAGAGCTGCTCTTATCAATCTAGTTGCTTCAATTTCATCAAACTCTGTCAATCTCGGATCCACCAACCCTAGAGTTTGGTCGTTTTCATGTAGAGTCCATACCTGAAAAACATTATGCCACGGTCAAAGGAAAGTATAAATAAGTTTTTCACAACAATGCCTAAACGAAGCTAGGCGAATGCAATTCCTACCCATTCAAGAAGATAAATCTTTTCTTGATCCAAGTTATTGTAAGAGTTTGGTCTCCCGCTGAGGATCTCCAAAACGACGACTCCAAAACCAAACACATCGGCCTTCTCTGTCAAATGTCCAAACAATGCATACTTCGGTGCCAAATAGCCTCTGCAATGCAAGATAATCAAATGGTTGCACAATGTTGCTTGAGATCATTAGAGGCATTATTAACATGTGTGTTAAAACTTCATGCAAGTATAAATGTGTGTGGCCATAATGTATGTATCCTCTAGAAAAACAATAAAGGATGGCTTACATTGTCCCTGCAACCCGGGTGCTGATGTGGGTTTTCTCGTCATCATAAAGCTTTGCCAGTCCAAAATCTGATATTTTTGGGGAGAGTTCTGCATCGAGCAAAATATTACTCGCTTTGACATCTCGGTGTACAACCCTTGGCCTTAACTCCTCATGAAGGTAAGCAAGTCCCCTTGCTGTTCCCAACAATATATTGAATCGAGTAGGCCAGTCAAGGTGCAAGTTACTTGTTCCTGAAATATTAGTGAACACATCGAATCAAAAACATTTCTTAACAATTTTAGAGTGCTTGAAACTGCAGACGATGTTGTTTCTATGCAACCTAAAAGTAGATAGGTTTGTACCAAAAAGTGCCTGATCAAGGCTCTTGTTTTCAAGATACTCATAAACCAAAATGCGGTGGCTGCCTTCGATGCAGCATCCATACAATTTCACTAGATTCCGATGTTGCACAGTAGATATGGTAGCAATTTCAGATACAAATTGACTCTTCCCTTGGTGAGATGCTACTGAAAGTTGCTTCACAGCCACTACTCTCCCATCAAAAAGTGTACCCTACAATGTACACAAAAACACAATTTAGTGACATGAAAGGAAATAAAAAAGAAGCTTTATTTTCTTCTCTCGCTCGCTCGCTCTCTCCCTTTCTTTTGTCATTTCTTCAAGTACATGATACTGATGTAATACGGATTTCACCTTATAAACAGGGCCGTATCCTCCTTCTCCTAACTTATTTGAAGGATTAAAATATTCGGTTGCAGCTCTCAACTCAGCATAACTGAAAGTATTTGGTCGAGGGCCTAATCCTAGAATATCTGCACATTCACGAAACAGTGTGACATAAGTTTTACTTTCATGAAAGCATTCTTACTTGTGTGTGTTAATGTCAAAGCAGAGAAACCTGAATTGGATACCACTAATAATATGGTCGTTTACCCTCGTGGTCCTCTTTTTCTGATTTTTTCCTCCTCATATATAGAATTGCAAATATTAATAGCAAGCTCACAACTCCAAGAGGAACTGCAATACCAACTATCAACCCAGTCCTGCTCTTCTTTCCTGGAGTAGTTGGTGGAAGCCCGGAAACTGTTGGTATAAAATCTAAGCGATAAAACAGACAAATTCTTCAGTGTCAATTAACAACAGAAAAATACATTTAAACAATTCACAGGAAGTCTATACTAGTTAATACAAATTATACCTGAAGCAGAATGGAGGGCTGCTATTAGTGAGCCGTAATGACCTGGTATGCAACAAGTCCCTTTACCAGCCCAGAACAGATGAATTTCAAGATAATTCTCTGACACGCTAACATTGAATCTTTTCATAATTCCTACATTAACCCCACCTGCCTCCTTGGATATGTCAAAGTCCTTTATCTTGCGGGTACCCTAGCAACCAAATGAAGAGCTAGGTAATAATTCTAGTCTCCTTTAAATCATGGAAGACTTTGGATGCAGTCTCTAACTACCAATGTTCTTTGACTGAAACCTTGATAGTTTTTAGTTTTTTATTAAAGTCTCTGACATTAATGTAATAATATATTTTTATGTAGGTTATTATATTTTAAATTAAAAATTGATATTTGTAGTTGTTTATATTAATGAGATTTTAAATAAAAAACCATAATTTATAGATTAAAAACATTAAAGGATAAAGTATACTCTCTAATATATTGTGTGTATACAAACATACATACATACATGGGTACGTTCATCAAAACTAACCAAAAAGTTATTGTACCAAAACATAGGTACATTTTTCAAAAAAAAAAAAAAAAGATATTAGGCTTACTAACATATTAAATTTCTTTCATTAAACTAGACAGGGATACATTTTCAAATCAACAAAATAAAATGTGCCCTTTATAAGTTTAAAGTAGCTTAAAATATCGAAAACCTACCCAATGAGTCTTCACTTCAAATAAGTCAGATTTTTTTTTTTTTTTCCATAAGCAGCCTTACCTGAATATAGATATCAAATACACACCGTCCTAGACTTTCCCAAGTGTGCTGAATGTCCCTATCAAAAACCGTCTCTGCAAAGTGCAATGTTACAGTGTAAGGTCCATTCTCAAGACCCAGGCCAAAGTATCTCAATGATCCTGGGGACAATCTTGAAGTCTGGAAAAGCTCCGGGGTCACATCTGTTCCGGTGACTTGTTCAACGGTCTTTTCCAAAAACAATCGGTTTACTCCGTCAAAAAACATACCGACATTGCTGACAGCCCATTTCTCTGTACTGGTTACAATGAATGTTGCTGGACCAAGAGCGGAGTCTTCAGCCTCATACAATATGCCATCACGTCCCATCATTTGCAGTCCACCACAGTTGATTGAGAAGTTTGCATCTGTAAGTTTCATGTAATACCAGAATCTACCCATGATTAGGGATGAAACTTCAAATTTAAGACTCATACTAATGTTTTTCAGTAACATATTTCTGACCAGTTATGCTTATTACTGAACTTATGAAAACATGCTTGCAATCTATATCCATATGCATGCATAACTAGAGAAGCAATGCCTTCTCCTCTAACATGACGTTGCGTTAAAACAGTTAATGTTGGGTGACATAAAAGCAGATTACATCGTGGGGTATCTCGATTGCATGGAAAATTTCTCTGGAGGCAATTCAATCCAGGAAGAGTACTGCAAACACAGAGAACAATTATTAGTTATCCAGATAGAAACATATAGTGGAAGAGTAGTGATAGTATTGCTTGTCGAAAAACCGGCGACAGAAACTTCAACTCACGTTATGTTTGAACTGTCAAATGTGAAGTTGTTGACCGCTAAGTTCCTGCATAAAATCATTAATCAATCAACATGTGAAGAAATATATCTCTTTCAAATGAAAATTCCATGTACAAGATCAAAACTTAATAGGCAAGTGGCACTGTGAGAACTAATCGCAGTGATATTTTTTGTTCGAACATATTCTTGGGATTTAAACTATAAAATGAAGGTGAAAGATAAAAAGACATACAATTGTGATATTGTGGTCACCCATTGGGGAAAGCTTCCTGATAAAAAATTGTAAGACAAATCTCTACAAATAACAAAATAGAATCAGAAGACACAAAATGCATGAAAGTTAGAAGAACTTGTGTAAGACAAAGGATTAGAATGCTCACAAAATGCACAAACACATACATGCACGTGCACACACACGTACAAAGTACTGGCTTTAGTGTTAGTAGACTCAGTACATTCTATATGACTACTTTTAAGAAACGAGGACTTACATAGTCTGAAGTAGATTGCTTTTTTGGCTCGGAAGAGGTCCGGACAGACTATTGTTTCCAAGAAACCTGGCCATTTCGATTATAGTAGAAGGCACCCAGAAAAGAAAAAGAGACGAGCAAGAAAAAGGTCATATGTGCACAAAATCTAGAAGGATTAGTACAGACCTTCAATCAAAGTAGGGAATGTTATAGATTTGATAACTTATGTATGATAAGGCAAGCAAAATATAATAATAAGGACGGGGATTACAAAGATGTAAGAGAATTCAAGTTGAACAAAGAACTTGGGAGTTGGCCTGTCAAATTGTTGAAACTCAGATCCCTGCAACACCAACGATAAGTTGAGAAGAGCAATCAGGATGAAAGAAAACTAATTGGCCTCGTTGGGACTCAAGCTTATATGCGGTGGTACGTACAGTATCTGTAGACGTTGATATTCTCCAATGTCAGAAGGGACGTTACCAGTGATTAATGCGTTTCGTAGTTTTCTGTTATTCACATAAAATTTGATAAAAAGTAGATGGAGTAAGATATCAAAAGGAAAAAGGAAAAAGTTGGATGAAAGTATATGGATCGACAAGAATCTTCACTTACAAATCAGTCAAGTTCTTCATTTTTTTTATGAAATCAAGAGAGGAGCTCCCATTGTATATATCACTGATTTGCCTACATCATTATATGCAAAATAACTGAAATCCCGTCTTCGGAGAAAGAGAGAGAATTAAAATTTATGAAACATTTGTACTTACAGAGAGTTCAATGAGGTCAGTTGAGAAAAGCTGGTTGGTATTGGGCCTTCGAAAGAGTTCCCTCGAAATCGCCTACAGAAACATATAAGAAGCTTGTGAACAAATTATCCATCTCAGGTCTGCTTCCATAAACTGCATAAGATCAAATTTCTCTGTGCTTACAAAGAAGTGAGTTGTGTCCAATTCCCTATGAAATCAGGTATCTTTCCTGAGAAAAGACTGTCCGATGCCCAACTAAAATTCAAAAAGTTGACTTATAATAAGCTCATCCAAGAAAAGCAATCTCAAAGTACAAGATAAACAAACAAATCTAAAATACGATTTAAGAGCCGTTCTTACAAGATTTGCGTACTGGTGAGCTTGGCAAATGTTGAAGGAATTTCACCACTGAGTCCGCAGCTGTCCATGTAACTGTGAAAATCATAAGGCAACTGATTAATACCCATTTTATACGATAAGGTGCAATTTTTGCTTATGCATAAGGAACTAACATGCAATTCAAATTTGATGATTTAACGAACCACTTACATTTCCTGGAGCTTGACTAAATTACCAAGTTCTAGAGGGAGTGTTCCGGAGAAATTATTTGATCCGATGGCCCTGCAAGTCATGTTGAACAAGCTAACAATTACTTGAAAGCAATTATTGAAGAGTGATAGAAGGTTCTGTATCTAATGTTTATGACACAAAATTTTACTGTACGCTTTCTAATTTTTCATGGCTTACAGTATATTTAGCTCCGTAAGGTTTCCAAGCTCCTTGGGGATGGGCCCAGAGAATGAATTGTGGGCAATTGACCTGAATAGAGATATCAGTTAACTAAAGATAAGCACCATTACATTACATTACAAGAAACCAGTACTGCATTATTCAATAAAAACATAATGGTTTTGTGTAGATTACTGTGTAAATGATAGAGAAAAGGTGTAAAGAACATAACTGTAGATTATGATATTCAAAATGAAGTATACAAATTGCGACGAGTCTCATCCGAAGTATGAGTACTTAAACAAATTTTCTCTCACTGCTTACAATGTAATCAATGCAGACATATTGCCAATGAATACCGGTAGTGGACCTTTGAAATAATTCTGATCGATTTTCCTACAAAAATTGAAACAAAATGTAATCATTAACTCTTAATCTTACGACATCACCATATTTTTAATTTCCAATTGATAATTTTGATGAACCAAAAACAGAGAAGGGAGTATGAAAAAAATCATACAAAACTGCGAGATATCTTAGAGCCAAAAATTCTTCAGGAAACACCCCTCGTTTGTACCGAGCTTGCACTCTCCTGGAAAGCAAAAAGATTGAACATTTAGAACTTTATAAAATGGAGTGGGCGCAATCAAATTATTGACTAATATATATATACATATATATATAGGTGTGTGTGTGTGTAGGTATAGCTAGCGGAAAATTAGCATTGGCATAGAAATCCTGTTCATAAAGAGATTAGTTTAACATACAGTTTGGTGATGTGGCATGTAGTACCATTGTCGTAAGTACAGTCGCAAGCGATGGCTGGGTTGTTAATTTCGCTCTCAAAGCCGGTGCCGTTGATGGCAGATCCACTGCAGGGTTCTCCACTGATATTCCACAGCCCCGGCACTGCTTGTGTGTCCCATTGTTCAAATATTGAGTTCAACGCCCTCACTGCACTCTCAGTTCAGTCCTTGTGTGTATTATATTATATCACACCATAATTTGACTTGTATTACCACTTACTAGACTATCTCGAATCAAATGAGAGATCAAATTGATTATTACAAAGGAAAATTACCCTTAATCTGGATGTTTTGTATATGGGAAGAAAAAAAGACATTACAAATAAGCTCCTCGAAACTTCATTTCATATAGTCAAAAAACATTAAAAATATCATTTTGCTGAGGGAAAGAAGCCCAGTTCCTGGTCAAAAACACTTATATGGGGCAAAGTGTGTATGCGTATAGGTAGGGAGGGAGGGGGAGAGAGAGGGAGAGAGAGGGAGAGGGAGAGGGAGAGAGAGAGAACCTTCAGATTGATCAGTGGTAGCATTTTGAGCAAAGGACAGCTGAAACCAGAAGCAGCTGAGGAAGCAGAGTAATAGAATCCTCATCATCAACTTCATCTTCATATTGTACATGTGCCAGAACTTGCTCTACTCGACCGCGTGAACTTAAACGGCCGACACTTATATTCCGACTGACTGAATCATGCATATAAAAAGAAGACTATTAGATTTTAATCATACATCGACAATTAACATATGCATATATTTCTGTTCAAGGTCCTAAGGCTTTGATCATATTACTTGAATTGTATATTATAATATTACACATGGACCTGCTTTACTCTTGAAATATTTATCAACGGTAGGACCCAATATACTGAAGTTACCTATGGCCCAATCAAATAAAGCCATGTGTCATTTAAAGCTCCCTCTAAACCTATAACCAAACAACAACTCTGAGATATTGCTCCGGTAACCAAACAACCAGTTTCTCTCCTCTGTCCTACTTAGGCCATGCTGCAGATCCCATTGCATCAAATCCAACCCAAATTTCTCAATCAATCTCTCCTCCGTCGAACTAAACCCTGCCCACTCATACCCAACCTTCTCCTTCGCCATGGCAGCACTTACGCACCTGCTCACTCTTTGGTCGTGACTTGGCGCCGCTTCCTCTCCTTGCCACCATGGTTGCATCGAGAAAAAGATGGTCGCGGATTTGACGGAAGAGAGATGAAGGAGGAGGATACGTGGATGTGGTCGACGGAGGGCAGAGGTTGGAAGAGCCTGGCATTTCTCCAAATCTCCATTGCAGAACCTTAGGAGGATAGGAGGCGTTTGGTTACGGAAATTGTAGCAGTTCGAAATAACATAATATGGATAGGTGTCAAATTTTTATTGGTAGTCAGTAAAATTGGGTACTGACTAATCAGTACCCAAGTATTGTCCTTCCTTAAGAACCTTACATCTTTACATTTTAATAAATAAATAAAATAAAATAAAAAAACAACAACAACAACCATCCAGTGACTTTTATTTGATGATAAGGATAAAATAATAAATAAATAATAAACATAAAAATCCACATGAGTTGGCACGCACCACACTTCCTTTCTATTCTTTTTTCTCCATTGTCCGCTATCAATAAGACATTATTATTATTTTTTTTTTTATTATTATTTTTTGTTTAGAATAAGTGAAATACTTCAAATTGAATTAAATTTTTCAATTTTATTTTTGTGGTGTTGTTTTTCAATGGCAATCAAGATGACGAGAGATTTTTTAATGTGCCTAAAACACGAGATAATACACCATGTTTTTATACAAGTGATGAGATTATTGTGTTAAAAAATAAAAATTTTCACCACTTACATAATAACACGTGATGTAGAAAGTTAGGATTGTAAGTGGAGGAGAAAAGGAAGCCGCAGATGGACGGACAATATAAGAAAATTAAGTAATTGGTGTAGAAAATTAAGAAATTGAAGAGATACGGAGAAAATTTGATGAGTATCAAAGAAAATTAGAAGAAGAAATTACGTTTGGAAGGTGAGAATGTGCCAAGAAAATTCAAGAAGATGAGAGGGAAGAATATAGTACCGTTAAGTTTCATAAACAGTGTAATAAATTTCATAAACAGTGTAGTAAGTTTCATAAATAGTGTTATAAGTTTTCATAAATAATATAGTAAGTTTCATAAACAATGTCATAAAGTTTCACAAACAATGTTGTAAGTTTCATAAATAGCTTGTGTGACGACTCGCAGGTCCGCACGTCAGATTTAAAAAAAAAAAATTTAATATTAAAATTATGTTTTTTTCATTAAAATTTAAGTTCTTTTGTCATTTTTATTAAAATTTAAGGGTATTTCATTAAAATTTAAGTCATTTTCATTTAGATAAGGTTATAGCATTTTTTTTTATTAAAATAAACTTATCTCAAGCCCTTTTCATGAAAATTCCCTTTATTTTTTAAAAACTTAGCCAAGATGGTTAACTTTGAGCCAAGTCATCTAAAAAATAAATAAAATAATCCCCTTCTCCTTAGTGTAAACCAATTTGATATCGAATTCGCCATCCAAATCGAATTTGGATGGCAAATTCGATTCCAAATTAGGCTGCCTATTGTGTGGCTTAGCCGAACTCCCCCTCCCCTTAGTCGATGTACTCAAAAAAAAAAAAAAAACAAAGGATAGCCTGCTTTACTCTCCAAAATCTCTCAACTTTCTAACCACATCCGTTGCCCACCAAGCTCTGATTTCTCTTCCAAAAATAAATTGAGTTCTTTTGAAAATTTAATTGGGTATTGTGTATTTGGATTGGGCATATTTTGAATTTTTGATAAAGATAATAGAGGAATATTAGCATGGTTTTTAATACATGTAATATATACAAAAAAAATATTACATTTTAATCGCCGTGTCCATGTTCTTGTTTTTTGAGATTTGCCGTGTCCTCATATCGTTGTGTCGCATGTCATTGTATATGTGTCTGTGCATCATAGTTTGCCGCCTAAAGGTGCAATATTTTATAATGTTGACACATAAATTGACGTTTAACTATGAGACATAAGGTGGTACAAAGTCCATAAAGCCAATTTGAGAGTCTCCCTAGCATTATCCTTTTCTTATACTTACCAAATACAAGTTTTTTTTTCTTCTCTTGAAGTCCACAAACAATGCAATTTTATAGTTTTTAACTAGAAAATGTGTCCAAGCTTACATTGAATGTATTAGTCGTAACAGGAATGAATAGTTTCCACACAAGGCAACTAAAAAGATGTTGTAGTACCTGAGAACCAATGAAGTCAAACTTTGCTTGTTATATATAGATATGCATGCTATAAGAAACATTTATTTGTAGATTGTATTGTGTCATCAATATCATAGTTTCAAGTAATCAGCCTACATGAAGGAAAAACACAGAAAATGGAAAGTAGAAAAGGACATGATATCTCACTAATTTTGTAATAGAAACTCTAACAAAGAATATCAGGCTCCAAAGGCCTTGACTTTTCCTTAGCATAAATCTGTACGTTGCAAGTTTAATTCCAACAAAACAAATACACGTGTCAAGTAAAAGGCATCAACCTATATGTGCTGCTTTACAATCTCAAGTTGCTGAAGCAATGCCTAAAATATTCAAGACTCAACGATTTTCACATAAATAGAACACCTCACCTAAACAATAACCGAGGTTGTGCTATTTGAATCAAGCTAGCAGGCAGATGCTTTGCTAGGCCTTCTTCAATATCATCTCATATTCTCTTTTCATTTTTCCTTTATGATATAATAAACTATTCAACTTTAGATGTAAATAAGAGAACGCTAAGGGTGGGCACGGACCGGGCTGGGTCCAAAATTGAAGGGACCGGATCAGACCCGCTTGAAAATACAATGGGCAGGAGCTGATTTTACTATTTTCAAATTGAGAACCGGAACTCACTCGGTCCGTATAAAACGGACCGGTTCCTACGGGTCCAACAGGTAACCTATGTGTGTGTGTATATATGTATTTTTTTTTTCTTCTCTTTCTAATTTTCAATATCCCAAAACCCAAATTCCCAGTCGAATTTGCACTCAACCGAGTCGGATTCGAGTTCGAAATCAAATCGAATCAGGACATAAAACATAAATTAAATTATGGGCATAAAACAGACAAATAAATTAGGAAAACAAACTAACCAGAAATTAAAAACCTTCAATTTGCAGCTAAAGCACTAGCAATTCCACATCCACACAAAAAATAAATTATGGGTTTGAATCTGTAACCTGTTAATTACCTCTTTGTTAACATCGGGGTGATACTTAAGAGCAAGTTTGCGATAAGCCCTTTTAATCTCGACATCAGTTGTAGAAGAAGACACGCCCAGAACCTGGTAAGGAGACTTTCTGCGACTGGCTCTCAAAATCGTAGCAAAACGTCGTCGTTTATGGTTCAAATTTGAGAAGCTGGTTACGGGTTTCGAGGCATATCTGAAAATGGGTTTCGAAGATTTGGGTCGGGTTTGCAGGAAAAGCAAAGATCTTGAGGTTGAAGAAGAAGAAGAATAAAGGTTGAAGAAACAGAGGGTGTGTGGAGGAGTTAAGGCAGAAGAGCCAATCCATGCATCGTTCGTCGGGGGAATAATTTGTGAGGCGGCGGCAGCATATCATTTTTCGGTGGGGTGTGGGTGTGGTGTGTTTGTGCTCCGGGAAGGAGAGTTGCAGAGATGGGGGGAGAAGAAACAAAGAAGAGAAATGAGGGAGAAGGTTCGAGAGATTGGGGAAAGGGGAAACACGGGGAAGTGGGGTGTGTATGTGTGGGACTGGTTCAAATGAACCGCTTCCCGCAAAATCAGCAAAAATAAAACCACAAAGTTAGAGCTACGTCTCAAAAAATTAACTCCCAAAATTATTCCCTGTTTTTAGAATAAACAACCAGAAACCAGTAACTGAAAAACCCATATGACAATTTTTTTGTGATCAAGTGGTCTATCCCAAATATTCAAGTGGTATAAAGACAATGTACACTGAAGGTGAATGCCAGTTCCTCCTAGAACACCAGGCTACTCGGTAGCAACGAAAGAACTAATGTGGGGGTAAATTCAACACAATCATGAATGGACACAAGGATGGATGGGTGAATGGAGTTAGTAAAATAAGCAGCTTAGCTTTTATATACATTAAATTCAGCTGACATGATTACACATTGTTCAATTAACAGAATGAAGTTGCATGTTCCTGATTACAAAAAATGTAGCGGCAAATATATTTTGTTTTCCCAAGAAACAGAAGAAAACAAAAGCAACACACAGTTTACATATTAAATATAGCGTCAATATTTATGTTTTAAAAAAAATCCTTTTTAGATTGCAGCCCGAGCAACAATATTGTCAAAAATCTTAAAAACTCTAACAGGTTGAATGTAAATATTCTTGAATTTTTCTGAATATGTAAGTTGTGCATGTATTGTTAAAAGCCGACTCATTTTCTTAAATATGTAAGTTGCGATTTTTCGTGAAATATTTCCGGTTCGCTAAGAGAGCGCACTTATCAACAACGCTCATTAAAGCACTTTGGGGAGGATGAGAGAGTCCACTCCCAGAAAAACCTAATGAAAACACCATTTGGGAAATTGAAAACGTGAAAAAGAAAGAAAGCGACCGACGAAAAAACATGTCAAATGTCTAACAACATTTGATAAAGAATCAAGATCACTGGGTTAAACCAGAATCACAGAGACAGCAAGGGACCTTTGAACAATTACAGAATTATAGAGACAAAATTGAAACCAAAAGAAAAAAAGGAAAGAAACCAATGGATCTTTGGACAATCACAGGATCACAGAGACAACGAAGGATGAGAAACAAAGCAGAGGCCCAAAATACTAAACACAGACAGCATGCATTGGACTTTTAATTGTAGAAACACATTATCATTCCTACAGTTAAAATCAAATTCCCGCACAATAATTGGTATACGAACAGTTACCGGAATTCTATAAATCGGTGAATAGGGGGATTGTTTATAGAGATCTTTTGACTCCTTGTAGGGAGACCTATTAATCCGGAACAGATTCTAAAAAGATATAAGATATTTGATTCTTAATTTCCAAGACATCCTAATTAAAATGAATAAATCTTGGTGGGCCAGTTGTAAACTTAGTTTTTTGACAAGCGATAGATAATTTAAACTAAATTCAACAGTTCGAATTAGAGACGTAGTAGGTTGAATAGGAAGATTTTATCTACTAGGGCAAGTAACTTTTTTTTTAGTACAACGATATATTTTACACTAAGGGAAGACAGAGTTCAGCTAAACCACACAATGGATAGCCTAATTTGGTATCAAATTATCATCCACGAGATATGAACCTAAGAACTCTCATTTATAAATAAAGAAGAATACCACCAGATCGTAGTACTGAGTGGCAGGGCAAAGTAACTTAATTTAAAGAGAAATGCGAGAGAAATTTTTATTTGCCACCTTAACTATTATCCAAGTTTCGAATTGTTACCTGAAAAACAATACCAAACTCATAAAAAAAAAAAAAAAAAAAAAAGATTTGTTTTGGTTTGCCTCTTGCCATCAATTCAATTAAAATCTTCACCAAAAGAAAATATTCATTTACATTGAATCACCTACCTTGCACATATCCCTTATATAACGTTGTTTCAGTCCTTTCACGATCAACCTTAAAATACGCGACAATTTTTTCCTTTTAACTTTAAGGGGTCCTCCAAATCATTTCCATTGTTGCTAATCGTTTAGGGAAAGCTGCTATTTGAATCCAAAAGGGGAAAACGTAACACTCTATAACAAATATACTTATCATTTCGAGTTTGCTTTTGTTCCTGAGGTAACAAATTAAAATTTGAATAAAAGTTAAGGTGACAAATGAAAATTTTACTTTTTATTCATCATTATGCAACTGGCCCACAAGGCTCAATTTATTGACCAAAAAAGCCCTTAAATTTAAATTAAGTTAATCCCCTCAACACACCCACTGCCAAAAGCCAAAGCTAAAGTACAACTGCAAATAATTAATTAAATGTGTATTATATAAATTGACTCCTGCAGAATCAAACATACAAACTATAAAAAATCCGTTCTTCTCACCTCCATACTATATACACACTGCAAACATCCTTCTATCATAAAACTTAATTACACTAATTAACTAGCAAATAAACATACAAAAAAAAAAAAAATCAAAATGATCAACTCATTAGCAGCTCAGCTCAGACTCAGACACTTAATCTCATACATCGTGAGCGGCTGCGAATGCTTAACATATATTACGTACATAACTCAAGCCCTAATTAACATGATGACGACATAGATAAAGTTGTGGCAGACGATGTTCTGCTGGGTGATGACGAAGAAGTCTGCTTCAACGCCACGGTTGGAAGAATACAAGTTTTTCTCCTCTCTTGCTCCTTAATCAGCTCCCCGGAAAACATTTCTAGCTTCTCCACATTTGTGCTTTTCACCATTTTTTTACCTTGGAATAGTATGGACTCCACATTTTTCTGCGACAACATTTCCTCTGTCAAGGCCAACATGTCTATCTTGTTCTTATTTTTGCCGTTGGAGTTTTGGGGGCCTCCATGCATTTTAGATATGATGCCGTTGGCTTGCACGCGAACATAATTGGTTGCTCGGGATTGTCCAAAAGCCATTGAAACGGCTTGATCAACCTTTAATTAAGAAAAAGAAAAATAATGATTAGTTAGGTTACATAATCATAAAGAGAATTGAAATTAATTAAGCACCAAATATGCTTTGAGAATATTTTACACAAAAGATTTTAACCACCAAATTAAAAATATTTGTACAAAGGGACAAGAGCCTCTCTGTTTATTTTAACAAACAAAAAAAATATTTTATCAATAATTAGGTGGCACTTTTATCAGGCCACCCAACCACCGTACACATGGTACAACTAGCGTCCACCATATTAATGTTTTTTTCTTCAGAAAACCCTAATAATTTACCATGCAAAGTGTTAAAACTACAGGTCAAGCTTCTCGTATTGAAATACTTTCACTTTTGCAAATCACGTTTTATTGCAGTGGTGAAAAATATTTATATTTTTATACATTTTGATACGAGTTCAATATCTACTGATTTTATTTTTAACAATTAATAATTGAACCTATTCACAATTATTATGTTCGTACAATGTTTTTTTTACAGATATAATTTATATATGATAATAAAAAGAATAACTTATATTTTTACAGATACTTAAATTGTACGTAGGGATAGGTAAGTTTCCCTTTAAGGAAAACACAAGTATTATCCGAAATGAAATAATAGTTAACATATTTACAATGCAAATTAAAAATTAGAAGTAAAAAAAAATCAGAATTCTTACCAAGTCCGAAGCTCCTTCACCGGCGATTCTGAGGCAACCAGAAGGCGACAAATTTCCAAACTCGGACTCTCCATTTCCGAGAGACACGACCAAGAGATCCTCAACGTCGTTACAGAACGGAAACTCCTGCTTATTATTTAGCACGTGCGTAATAGCCGCAGCCGTCGGATTGTTCATAGCGATACCACCATCAACGGCCATGAGCTTTGTTCTCCCGTCCACCGACGTCACCTCAACGGCCGGTTGAGCCGACGTGGCAGCGCACACGTCCATCATCTTAAAATCGTAGCCGTCCATCTCCACCGCATCCGCCCGCGAAAACAAAAACGGCGCGCTGGACGACATGTCGTAGCAAGGGATCAGCACCGACTTAAGCGTGTCCCTGAGAGTCAGCTGCTCCCCGAACGTCTTCCGAAAGAGTTTCTCCCTCTCCTTCTCAGCCTTCGCCGGCCGGAAAACCCGCCGGAGAACTCCATCCGGCGATGGTTTGAAGATCTTGCGGCGGTTCTCGATAAGGAAGTCGAGGGCTTCTTTGGCGGTGAACATGGGTCGGGTCGACCCTTCCTTTAAACCTCGAGTGAAGAGGAGGGCGGCGAGAATGCCGCCGGCATCTGACCCGGAAACGACGTCGAAGAAGTCGGAGATGGCGGCGTTGGGGTCGCCGGATTTCCGGCGGAGAGAGGACTCGAGGTGGGAGAGAGCATTGGCGGCGAGGATGCCATCGGTGGCTCCGGCTGCGTCGATGGTGAGAATTCTGACCTTTCCGGTGAACTGTTTGCTAGAATGCATGTGGTGGAGAGGAGTGGAGAGATCGGCGGAGTTGGGGTCGAAGGCTTTTAAGTTTGGTGGGTTTCCGAAGAGGAAGTTGTTCTCGAGAACGGAGAAGATTTCGTAGGAGAGCTTGTTGACGTCGAGCAAGTTTGTGTCAACGTTGAGCATGGGAGCCGCCATTTTTGTAGATTTAATGCAAAAAAAGACCAACGTACGTACTGAAAATATAGGTAAGGATTTTGGCTTATAGCTTCTAGGAAAAGTACTGGCTAGAGTGGTGGTAAGTGCTTTTCGAGAATATTAGACTTGTTTTGTTGTGGATGATGGTGAAGATGGGTAGGGGAGAATGGAGGGTTTATATAGGTGCGTGGTGGGATTTGAAGAGGTACGTGTGGGAATTTGTGGATGTGTGGGAGTGAGAGGATGATATTTTTAATATCGAGTCGAATGTTTTCTATGACCATCTTCTTGGAACATTCTTAGGTACCTAGCTACCATACGACCAAGTGAGCATTTTAATTCAGAACAAAAAAAAATAAAAAATAAAAAATAAAAAAGAGAAAGAAAAGATGAAGCAGCTGTACGTTGGACGGAGGGTGCTCCGAAACCGCCACAATTGTTTAAAAACTTTGAATAGGTTTGGAGGGTAGAAACAGGAAAAATTAGTATCCGGTTCCTAATTACTAATGTTTATTGACTGAAATCTTATTAGTTGTCAAATTTTGATCAAAGTTTCTAGCACTAGTGCAATAATGAATTTACATGTCAGTTATATACTTTTTAAAATAAAAATTAATAATTGATTTATAATTTTACTACTCACACCTTTACTAAACTCCTAACTAATTTTCAATTCAAAACATTTTTAAAATAAAAAAAAATAATTAGAATAAGTTTGTACCCTTTAATTTTTTTTATAAAAAGGTTTTCAATTTTTTTAATCTTATATGTATCCATTCATGTAATTTTTCAATTTTTTTTTTTTAATCTTAAAATGTACCCATTATTAAATTTATCAATTTGTTGTATGTAAAATGTACCCTTTTGTTTTTAAATATAAAATCTATTCAGCTTTTTTCTAATCCATTTTTAAACTTATATGGGTACACTCTTTTTGTAACATCCCACATCGCCCAGGGGAGTGATCCTTATATGTATATTCTCATTCCTACTTAGCACGAGGCCTTTTGGGAGCTCACGGGCTTCGGGTTCCGTAGGAACTCCGAAGTTAAGCAAGAAGGCGGCTAGAGCAATCCCATGATGGGTGACCCACTGGGAAGTTGCTCGTGAGTTCCTAAAAACAAAACCGTGAGGGAATGGTAAGCCCAAAGCGGACAATATCGTGCTACGGTGGTGGAGCGATCCTGGGAAGTGATCCACCCCGGGCCGGGATGTGACAATTGGTATCAGAGCCTAACCCTGGTCGTGGTGTGCAACGAGGACATCGGGCCCCTAAGGGGGGTGGATTGTGACATCCCACATCGCCCAGGGAAGTGATCCTTATATGTATATTCCCATTCCTACTTAGCATGAGGCCTTTTGGGAGCTCACTGGCTTCGGGTTCCGTATGAACTCCGAAGTTAAGCGAGAAGGGGGCTAGATCAATCCCATGATGGGTGACCCACTGAGAAGTTGCTCGTGAGTTCCCAAAAACAAAACCGTGAGGGAATGGTAAGCCCAAAGCGGACAATATCGTGCTACGGTGGTGGAGCGAGCCCGGGAAGTGATCCACCCCGGTCCGAGATGTGACACTTTTTCTTGATTTGTTAATGTTATTAAGCCTAATTTATATGGGTACACTCTTATTCTTGTTTTTTTTTTTTCTAATCTATTCAAGTTCAAATTGAAGAAATTTACTAATGTTATTAAGCCTAATTTCTATTATTTTTTTGTGTGGTTTTGAAGAATGTACCCATATTTTGGTACAATAATTTTTTTGTTAATTTTGATGAATGTACCCATGTTTATATACATACATACACACACACACACACACACACACACACACACAATATATATTGGAGAGTATAATTTATATTTTAACATTTTTTAATCCACAAATTATGGATTTTTTATATATTTAAAATAGCATTAATATAAACAACTATAAATTTCAACTTTTAATTTAAAAAATATAGTAACCTACATAGAAATAAATTATCACATTAATTTCAGTGACTTTGATAAAAAATTGAAAACCAATAAGGTTTTAGTCAAAGAATATTGATAGTTAGGGAACGCATCCAAAGTGTCCCTAGAAAATATTCTTTAGGGTTTTGGCGTTTTTGAGTGGTAATTATTCTCAATTAATGACTCAAAGGACATTCTATGACTAATACAGATTAACTCTTAAGAGAAAAAATTAACTTACATAATACGGTTACATTATTATTCTGATGTCTCACGTTAATAATACACGTCACGTGAACAAAAAAACTTATACATATTTTTGTGCCATTGATATAAAGATGTCCGTGTCGTGAAAATCATTCTCGATGAATAATGGCTAGTAATTTTCACATTTTTTTAACTACGTAATACTTTTTATTTGGGTGAGAAAAAAAATTATAAAATTCCTGAATTGTAAGCAGACTTCAAATAATGTGTTGATTGTATGTTAGTTCTGCAATAGAAAGTGTTATTATTTCCTTCTTTTTTTTTTTCCAAGAGGTACTATTATTTCCTTTAAACAAGTGTTATTTTGCAGTAAAATCTTTACTTTTACTGCAATTTAAAAGTTTGAATAATAAAAGTGGGGAACAGAAGATAAACAATTGATCCCAAAAACAATCCTATCATAATGCCATGTATACCAAAATGTCCGTAGTACCGTGCTATCTTACATCTCTGGCAGATAGAACAGAAAATAGAAGATCCTGGGTTCAGTTTTTGGAAGGGATGGGAGTACTAGAGGGATATAACTCAGCTACTTCCGATGATAAATTAATAATGCTTTATTGGAACTTCAACTTCATCCCCTTTCTTTCTCATTATCCCCTTTACTTATGGAAATAGTAGCCAGTAACCAGTACTATTCTAAGCGCCATGTTTCTTTCAAAATTCAATCTTCACTGCCATCGACTTCAAAGTTTCAAATATACCTGTTTGGACTCGATTTTGATCGCACTCGGCCCATATATTCCATGCTATTAGATGAGAGAAATATTAAGGATCATAATTGGTGTTCGGATAAAGGTTGAATCAACCTAGGTTTAGAGTTCTAGTCAAAGACGACAATACTTGGTAGCAATAGAGTTTCAATCAAGAATAATTCCGTGTATATTCAAAGAATATATTGAACAAGAATCAAAATATATTAAGAACCATGCCATTTGTTAGACTTGACCAGCACATAATTTATCCCTATAAATACAAGAGGATTTGCAACATAGAGAGCCCCTTTAACTCAAGAAACAACTCAAAACGCGCGAAACCCTTCTCACAACCATAACTATCCTAATTCTCCTGTAGCAGTAGTCAAGAAGCATCTTCAATTTGGATAAACAACATTGCTTTTGGTTGGTTTTGGTTATTTATCAAAGTCTCGGGGGACGAAGAATTGTCTTGTCTCAACAGGTCATCTCATCAGCTTCGTCGAAGAGAGGTGTTACCTAGTTACCCCTTGTTTGGCATAGTGAAAGCCGAACCAGTTATTGAACTTCCCAGTGATCTAGTAACCTTGTTTTTAGGTTTTATAACCCAAGGTTGAGACGTGTTATTTCCTGGGTCGTAATTGGTTCAGTGCATAAGTTAGTAGCGCATTTGACACCACCACCACATGTATTCTACTTGCCTGATCGAGTTTGGTTGCAAGTTGGCACGCCCACATTCACAAGAAGGACGTAGTTAACTCATACTTATTTAGCCTTCACGCCACGTAGGTTTTGTAATTTTTAGAGTCAACGTTAGCTTTTGAAGTTTAGAGTTTAGGGTTTCTTTACACTCCTTTACACTCTGTATAAGTTCAATGGAGTTGTACATTTGGTTGTTTTAGATGTGTCTCTAACAAAGAGGTCATCGTCATTGTTATGTAATTAAGGACGAAAGATTGTTCAATACTTTAGCTTATGATGTAAACATTCTTATTTGATTTTAGTGAAGAGTCCATCGTTTGTAGGAAGGATGCATAAATTCATGACTCCCTAAAGCATTTCCCTTTTTTTTTCTTTTGCCATAGATTACACCGATGTAAATCACAAAATATTTGTTTTTGGCTGGAGACAGGTCGATCCACACTGAAATTTTGATTTGTGAATGTCATCGTCTCCTAGTATCCAAATTTCCAATTAAATAAATATATATAGACAGCCATATCGAGTGGAGCCCCTGACTTATCAAGTACTACGTACGTAGGTACACCAGTTAATTCATAATTTCATCTCTCTCTCTCTCTCTCTAGTCTCTCCCACAAGTGGAGTAGTAGTACTATCTGGCTGTGAAATCTTGTGGTCGTTATAAGCCATGGAAACTGAAAATCCTTGTAGGCCCTAATAACATGTGAGTGTTCGTATGATTTTAATTTCTTTTTCCTTCTTCACCAGCTTAGATGTGCATGTACGGATGGACCGACATTTTCTGCCAGAAATCTCACAGATCTCTCATGCATGCCTCGAATGGCCTCTTGCTATAAATATATATATATATATATATTTATTTAATCAATATAGTCATTTTTCAATTGTTTATATTGATGATGTATTAATTTTTTCAAAATCAATAGATGAGCATTGGAAGCATTTACATGCATTTGCTAGGATCATTAGGTCCAATGGGTTAGTTGTTTCAATCAACCTCATATTTTCCTAGTCTATTATCTTGAAATGCTACTCTGTTTATACATATTTTACTTCCGCACTCTGGATTCTATGGCTGGTTTTACCGCCTTGTAGTTGCACCCCATTTGAATCTATGGCTGGTTTTACTGCCTTGTAGTTGCACCCCATTTGGTATCAGAGCCAAGTGGTTGGTAATTGCATTAGCATCTATCTGGATTTACTCTTTGGTACTTACATTCCTGTATCCTATCTGCATATTCTTATTTGTCGGTCCTCAGTCCTCTATTCTTTCAGCCAAACAGTAAGGCGTGGTCCAAACAGTAAGTCCCGAGGAGAGGCATGAGCGGGGGAAGAATCTAGACATACGAGGAAGGTCAATCATTTAAGTCTTGCATTTAGCATACTTGTTTGTGAGCATCATGAGTAGGTTATTTAGATCTAATTCAATGGCCAGCACAAGCTCTAGATCCAACTTAGGAACTATACCTGACATTGTCAATGAAGAACAAAAACTTGATTTTCAAACTGATGAAAGTATTGATTTTTCTGATTGGAACATTCCAAAGATTTC